CTCAGGCCTTTTAGGCACATGCACTGTAAAATCGGATCATGCCAGGGGCATGGAAGGTGCTGCAGGGGCATCTGCAGAGGGAGTGTTTTGCCCTGGCCCTGCCTCCCCACGCTCCCACCACAATAGCCAGTGAGGGGAGAAGCCTGCCTTTCGGGGAGTGTAAGAGCTGCTGCACGCAGGCATTGGGAGTTCAGCCAGCCACCTCCCCTTCTGAACTGGTCAAAACTGTAATAAAACTACCTAGGTAAAATTTGGTGTCTCTCTGTCTCACCTACTCTTAAAACTTCCTGTGATGAGGGCACTACAACCTCTCTCAGAAAGCTGTTTTCATGCTTAACTATCCAAACACTCACAAAGCTTTTCCTAGCACCTATCTCCGTATCTTCCTTGCAACAAATTAAGCTGATTACTTCTTGTCCTATTCCCAGTGGACACAGAGAACAATTAATCACTGTCTTCTTAAAACAAGCTCTTAAATACTGGAAGACTTTTCACGTTCCTCGTCAATCTTCTCTCTAGAATAAACCAACCCGGTTCCTGGAGCCTCTCCTCACAGATGACACTCACCGCCCTGGCTGCCCTCTCCTCATCTCTTTCCACTGTTTCTGGCTTTGATGCTCACACCAGATGCAGAGCTCTGCTATGGGTTCAGCAGCGGCTGCTAGAGTAGAAAAACTACTGCCTGTGCACTACACGTGACATTCCCATCAAATATACCCTAAAATGAGATTTGCTTTTTTGCAACGTCACCACACTGTTGACTCACATGCAGTCTCTGACTCACTGTGGTGCCTCCCAGATCCTTTCCTGTAGTTCTGCTGCCTGGCTTGTTATCCCCCATTTTACATGTAGGCATTTGATTTCACCTTCCCAAGTGCTGTAGTTTGTATTTAATAAATTTCTCCTTATCGAATTCAGACCATTTTCTAGTTTAATAGGTACAGGACCTACATTGTGCCAAGAAAGTGGATCAACTTCCTGCCTCATGTTACACATTGGCACCAAAGACAGCATGGAAGGCCGAACTGCTGGGTTCAGGCGAACTTCCTAGAAGCTATTGTCTTATCAAAAGCCAATCAATTTGTTACTGCCTTTTCACTCTGCATTTCTACCTGACACACTGTGGCCTTAGTAAACAAACAGTAGCTCACTCTAGCCTCATAAAATACATTAATTCTATGAAATTACAATCCACTGCCAAAAAGTACTGCAACATCTTGGGCACCACGTCAATCTATGACCCTAGCTATACAAAACAGAGCTACCAGCAACTCACTAACTAGGTTGTATCAACCAAGAAGGAAGACAAGGGACACGTTTAAAAACCTATTTATATTGAGCTAAATTCTTAAGACCCAGCTCAACAAAATTATGCCTTTTAGTCCACTGTTGTTAGAGACACCATCAATATGTATTTGATTAATGACTTAGAGGAAATTACATCAAGGATCAATTTGTTTCCTTGCTTTTTTCCATAAAGCCCTTAACATTCGATTCTCAGATATGCAGCAGGTATTTTAAACGCATATGCCTGGGATTACATTGTATCATACCCTCTTTCAAAGTGCCTCATGAGCTGACCAGAGAAGTGAGCAGATTTTGATTCCAGGACTTCAATGCACTACAAGGAATACAGAGTCCCTTGAGAAGGTTGGCCTTAGTTCCACCACACAATTCCTGCATTCCCCAAATCCGTCCCCCCAGAAAAGTCAAAACAATATTTTCTTTTTCTTCATGGTCTACAAAAAGATTGCAGTAACTTGCTATACTAACACAACAATTACAAAAAGGGGAGTATTTCTCTCTTTCACAAATTAAAAAGGATGTGAAGGTCCTTCAATGCATCCAGAGCAGGGCAACAGAGCTAGTGACAGTGCTGGAAGTTGTGTTCTATGGGGAGTGGTTGGGGCCCCTGGGGTTGTCTAGTTTGGAGAAAAGGAGGCTGAGGGGTCACCTCACTGCTGATCTCTCGGCTATGCAGTGACAGGATGTGTAGGAATGGTTCAAGACTGCAGAAGGGGAGGCTCAGGACAGATATGAGGAAACACTTCTTTACAGAAAAGGTGAACAAACATTGGAACAGGCTTCCTAGAGGGGTGGTTGATGCCCTATGCCTGTCAGAAGCATTTGCACAATGCCCTTAATAAGATGCTTTAACTTTTGGTCTGCCCTGAAGTGGTCAGGCAATTGGACCAGATGATCACTGCAGATCCCTTCCAACTGGAACTATTCTATTCTCAGACACATGAAGACTTCCTTTCAGGGAGCTTATAATAATTTACAAATGATAACTCTGACTTCTCAGTGAATGGCCAAAGTGATGACAGTATGAAATCTGGTCTGACACATTCTGGGAAAGAACTCGAGACTTCTGCTTCTTAAGTTAATACTTAAGGACCACCTTGCCTACTTTGCTGACACTCCATACCACTGCAGTGATGTTCATGGGTCATGCACCAATACATGCTGAGGGCCACCTGGCTGAGAAGCAGCTTTGCAGAAAAAGACCTGGGGGTCCTGGTGGACACCAAGTTGAACACCAGCCAGCAATGTGCCCTTGCACAAATGAAGTCTCCTGGTATCCTGGACTGCATTAAGAGTGTTGCCAGCAGCTTGAGGAAGGGGATCTTTTCCCTCTCCTCAGCACTGGTGAGGCCAAACCTGGAGTGCTGTGTGCAATTTTGCCCACCCCTTTGAAGTACAAGAGAGATATGGAAATAATGGGTACAGTCAAACAAAAGGGCCACAAAGAGAACTGAGAGCATCTCTCACATGAAGAAAAGCTCAGAGAGCTAGGACTGTTCCGTCAGGAGAAAAAAAAGACTCACGGGGGATCTTATCAATGTATACAAATACCTGGAGGGAGGGTGTAAAGTTGACAGAGCCAAGCTCTTTATAGTGGTGCCCAGTGACAGGACCAGAGGCAAGGAGCACAAATGGAAACACAGAACATCCTATCTGAACATCAGGAAACACTTGTTTATTGTGAGAGTGACTGAGTCCTGGCACAGGTTGCCCAGAGAAGTTATGGAGTCTCCCTCCTTGAAGATATTCAAAAGCCATCTGGATGTGGTCAGCTTTTCTAGGTGGCCATGCTTTGAGCATGGTTGGATCAGATGACCTCCAGAGGTCCCTTCCAACCTCAACCATTCTGTGATTCTGTGGGTTTCACCAGCAGGTCAAAAATCTTCCTGGGAAAGCGTTGCTCCATGGCTTAATCTGCTCCTTTTCAAATGTGTCCTAATGCTACAGCAGATCCTTCTGCAGCCTGATACTGCAGATGGTGCAAAAAGGAATTTAGCAGCCAGGACTTCTCAGGACAATGATGCCATTTTGCTTATTGCATGATCTGACCGAGATTTTTGCATAATGATTTTAATTCAGACTTAAGCAATGCTCAGACAGATCAGATAGGTTATTCCCTCCTTTCCATTATTTCCCAGAGCTAGTGAAGACAAAGCACAGTGGTCAAAAGAATACAAATCAAACTGTTTAATGTCATAAGAACATATTGCTCATATCAGCAGAGGCTTATTCCAGATAAAATCTCAACACTAAAGCAAGGACTTATCTTCCCTATGAATCCCTAACACCTGAAAGTATAAAAGGAGGGCAGCACAGCCTCCCACTGGCTCTTCCAGTCTAATGAACAGAAGACAGCTCAACCAAGCAAGGGCGGGAGATATCACAATCCTGTCTCACCTTTCAGTGCTCTGAGGACCAGAAGAGAAAACGTTAAATGTGCACATCACAGTTTTATACTCGTGTTCAGTGACTGACTCATCCACACGCAGTAAATGGAGGTCAGTTGAACTACTAAATATCTGCGAGTAACGAGAGCAAGTATACCATTAGGACTGGTGCCGTAACTTGCACCACAGCTTGATTAATTTATAGATACAACAGTAACTACAAGAGTAGAAAATCAGCAGAGTGCCAAACTGAACAGAAAGCCTCTTGAACCATAACACGCCTTGGAAAAAAAAAAAGTCTCTCTTCCATTTTGTTTTTTTAAAAAAAATGAGGCATTTTGTTACTTTTTTTTTTTTTTTTAAGAAAGCACAGTTGGCGACCTGGTAATTTCCTTAGCACACATCAGTTGAAAACTGGGAACAAGATTCCCCCTTAAGACAAGTGAAGGACTCTAAACTTCAGGTGAAGAGGTTTTTCACCAGCCCTTTCCTTGTTTTCCTCCATGACTAGTCATGAAGACAGCTGACAGAAAGTCCTTCTATACATCCCTCACCAGATCCCATTCCTCCACGCTCCATTTAGTTTCTGCAGCTCAAGCAGATTCCTTTTTCCCCTGAAATCAATGTTTAATTAACACGTTATTGGGAAAAAAAAAAACAAAAAAACAAAAAGGTCTGCAATAGCAGACTGAAGCAAACCCAGCACCTCCCTGCTCTGCAGATGTAGTCAGTCCCACCAGACATACACCGCTGGAGGAGCTCTCCTCATCCTCCCTCAGCTGCCGGCAAACATCATCCTCTTGCTTAGTTACCCTCCTTTCCATTCCCATGGGACTCTTCCCCTCCTTCAAGTGTTTCACAACAGCAGGAAAGACAGACAGTAGAGGGAGAATGGGAGCAAGTGCACTCTGGGTAGCCTCACAGTATGACCAATGCCTCACCTTTAATCCTGCTATCCCCATCAGAGACGCACACCAATTCCCCTGATGACACCACCACTCCCTCCACCCCTCATCAACAGAGCAACAGGATCAGCAGTGCAGTGGAAACAGGACCATATACACTTTGCCATGAGCAGAGGATGCTCCCATAGTCAAACTCACGTTCTGGGACTAAACACAGCTATATACATACCCAACAGCAGTGGAGAAGCTACCAGCAGCTTCAAAAGGTTTACATCATACCTCCCCCCATCCTCATCAATTATTATTCTACCCCATTCCTTGGCTCTCATCCAGCTGCTGGGAGGTACTTGGATGCAGGGGATGCTGCAGCACTGTCAAGGGCATTATGAGGCAGGCCTAGATCTAGAGCGCCCTCCCTGCTCAACACACAGGCACCCTCACTACAGTGTTGGTGCAGCAGGCAAGAGACAATAGAGTCCATGAACTCCTGGGCTGGGCTGGGCTGCCCTAGTTATGAAGAGATACATCAGGATCTTTGAAAGAGTCTACTATCCCAGCACTGTCATTCCCAGGATCCAAAGCTACCAGTGTTAATTAGTTCCCGTGATGTGATGGATGACAAGCGGCAGGGCCAGGAATGACACAAGCAGATTGTGCTCAAAATAAGCCATCCCTCACCATCAAGGGCAGAGGAAAGGAATTTAGAAAGGACAGGAGCTGAGCACACTGCTGCGAGACGGCAGGTATGCTGACAGAAACCCCCTCATCCCTGACGTCCCTTCCCAATACCCTGGCTCACTGCTGCTGCCAGCAGACAAGAAACAGGCAGGGGAGTGCGCCTGGGAGAGAATTCAGGCACAGCGCTGTGAGAGACAAGGGGAAAGCTCTAAGAGACATGGGGAAGCAAGGCAGATGAAGGGCTAATCCACCCTGTAGCAAGGGGCCACATTTCAGACAGAGTTGAACTTCTACCGGCTGTAAGCACACCTCCACCACCCTCTGCAAAGCCACACAGCGATGCCTGCAGCAGCCCATAGTCCCGAGAGGCTGCAGCCTTTAGCCCAGACAGAGGACTCTGCCAAGCTGGCTGTGTGGTGTACAGTTCCCAACAGCTGTCCACAGTGCTCAGAGCACACCTTTTACTGTGAATGGCAAAAAAAAGAAATTGTATCCCCACCTTCCCCTAAGGAAGAATGCAGGATCTCCCAACATCACTGGCGTATTTCCACTAGGAGTCTTATTGTTCAACTTCTCAAGCACACCACTACAGGGACCTTGCACTTGATCCCTAATAAACACCAGTAAAACCATACTCAGGCTAGCCCAATGTACAGTAATAATAATAATAATAAAAAAGGGTACAAAGGAAGAGCAGTAAAACCCCATCCACTGCCCACAACAAGGAAAAAGGCAGAATAAAACCTGCCACATTGCCCTTCTAAAAGCATGTCTTGGTCTAGCTGTTTGGATTGGCGGTGAGTGGCCAAATCACCACCTTTAGATCTCAAAATCCTTTACACATGTGTTGCCTATGCCCATGGGAGGAGAAAACCGAGAAAGAAACAAATGTCCTGACCCAAGATTCTGTAGTGTGTTTCAAGCAGCTGCCAGTCCCTCAAGCAGCTTGGTTTCCAAAATGCAAAATACTTTCCTCACAATTTGCTGTATGAATGAAGAGCCAACTCTGCTGGATTAACAGACTGCTATTAACTGGAAGAGGGGGATGAGAGGGAGAACTGATAAAAATTTCCAAAGCTTAACCAAAATTTGTAATTTCTGGCACCAGCTGCATTGGCAATACTCCCAAAATAAAGCCTGACTCTTCTCTATGCTGATGGTGACAGGGGCAGATAGTCAGATGCATTTTGTTTTTAAATTAAACACTGTGTCACTTGAATCATCATCAGAGGCCACTTCTCATCCCAGCTTTTGGTCATCATAAAGTTTCTGGCTCCTTCAGCTTGTTCTTAGCCAGCTATGTGGCCTTACCCTTCCTACAGCATATCACAGCTCAACGAGTATCCAGACATCTACCTGCACATGCCCAGAGTGCAGAGCTGATGAAAAGGCAAATGGAAACAAATCAAGGGAGGGAAATACACTCTGCTTCAAGACAGGTGAACTCACGAGCCCAAGAAAAGGCTGCAAAAAACAAAAGCAAGAAGTTCAGTAGACCCACCAAAACAACCACTGATGCTACAAGAAAGGGATTAAATTCTCCCTTCTTCAGGCAAGAGCCAGAAGATCTTGTGCAGTCTGAAGGTGTCCTCTGTTGAGGGTTTAAATCCAATCCTAACACAAAAAGAACTGCCTGCACCTCATGGCTTGGTAACTTGCTTGGACGAGGAGGAAAGTAAAGGAGAGAGGAGACATACTCATTTCCTTTAGCGCAGGGACTTAGGTCTTAAAATTCACCATCATCACTACCACAAATTACCCTGGCACCACCTCTTATCCTCTGAATGCTCTGCAGGAACTGAGTTATCTCTCTCACTTCAAGGATGCTAGTCATTCAGGGTCAGAAATAAGTTCCAGCGCTGTGCAAGTTCATTCTGTTCCATTGGCTGTGCCAGCTCAAGGAAGGGAAAACACCACAGTCAGAGACTGGTGAACTACAAAACTTATGTTGCAGTCATTGAAGTTCACCTACAATAATTTCTTCCAACCTTTCCTATTCCCACTACCAATTCATAAAAGGAGGTTTGCTGTGCCACAAGAACACACCAGTACCTTGGTCGCTGGGGAAATCGAGGAGCCATAGAAACATGGCCCACCTTCACCCTGCAGGGTACCAGGGAGGCAGCCTCCCAAGGGCAGCAGGCATGTGGTCCCTTGCAGTCCCCTCTGCCTGTTGTTCAGCTGGCCAATGTATCATCTTCAGCATCGGTCATGGCTGGACTACAAGCACAAGAGCTGCACCATGACAACCATTTCTGAAGAGACTGGGGTAAAGGGGAGGGCAGGGAGAGATCAAAAAGCAACTACTGGTGAAGCTGGGCAGCTGAGGCAAGATTAGGTCTGGTGAACACAAAGCAGGGGAGTGGGGGAAACTGGTATCTCTCCAGGTATTGCCAACATCAACAGCATGGGACCTTCCTGGCTACAGTCTAGGTAGCACCTCAAGGTCAGAAAGGAAGGAGAAAAGCAAAAAGCAAACAACAATAGCCCTGGACAGATTTATTTATTCAGCTTTGCTATTGCTCCATGAAGTGGAAAGATCCAGAAACCCGGAGACCTCAGAGCAGGCACAGCCACACATGGAAGATGAGAAGTAGTGGCTGGTGGAGCTACCTTCCTCCCCCAGCTCCCCTCTGTGTGGGTGCAAGCAGCCCATAACCAAGCAAGGAGGTCCTTTGCACCCAGAGAAGATACTGAGCAGGTCTGAGAGCTTTGGAGAGGGTCCTGGCTTGTCTGAAAGCCAGGAAAAGCCTCCCCCTTACTGCCCCAGCTCCCCCACCCTGGCACAAAAGCCACCGCAACCACCAGCTGAGGCTTGCCTGGCCCTTCCCCATGCTCTAGCTGGGGGGAAGAATGAAGGAAGGAACGAATGGAGGAAGAGACTCCCATTTTCCTTTGCTCCCCCACCCCAGCGTATTCCCTGTTAGACCCGAAAAACCGTGGCTCTCTTGCACATACTACAGCAGAAACACAAGGAGCTTCCCTCCCCCCAGCCTCCAGCAGGGACTGCATGGAAATGGCGATATTCCTGTATCGTCTGGATCAACGGCACGGATAAGCTGAAAGGGGGCAAGGGAGGGTGGCATAGGAGAATGAGGTGGGAAAGCTTTGTTTGGTGCTGGCTCCAGTGCAGCCCACCCCGTCTCTCCATTGCAATGCCCTCCAATTCGGACATGCAAGGAGGAGTTGGGGAGGGGGCCTGGGGTGCTTATGAATTTTGTTTCCTCCATCAAGAGGATGGCTCGCTCCCCCAGGCATGCCTGGCTCTGCCAGAGCTCCCTGGAGTAACCTTTATTCCAGTGTGTCGCAAGCATGTATTTCACGGATGGTTACACTGAATCATTATCACCAGACGTTCATTTGACCAAAATAATGTTATTAGCATCATCAGGTCCATTTCCCCCCCCCAATTCCTCCCTCCCCAGTACACATATGCTCCTTCCAATCCTCAGGCCCCTGCTATCCACATAGGGCACACCCCTTTCGACACAAAATCTCATGATGTGTGACACAATGTCCGGCGAAAGAGAGCGGCAAGAAGGGCTGGCGAAATGGATGGACGTGCCTTTGGCATTTACTGTGTTCCCTGCCCTCTGCCAATGTTTATCAGCCGCACGCACACACACAAAGACGCAAAAAATCAGAATTAAATCACGGCCTGTCCTAGGTACATGACTATGGGCACACCAGTGTGTGCACGGGTGCCCAAGCTGCGGTCACAGCCCTATCGGGAACCCAAATCCGTGTGGCACAAAGCAAAGGTCATCGTGCCACTGTTGTGATGCACTAAAAAAAAGCCGCAGAGCCATCAGGATGTAACACAGAATTTTCTCGTCAAGGGATGAGAAACCTTTGAGGGGGTGGGGGCTGGGAGAAGGAAAGCGGGTGTGCGGATGGGGGGGATGGGGGGGAAATGGCAGAAAATGGGGAGGAAAATGAAGAATACAAAGCTCCACTTCGCTAATCCAAGATAGACAATCCATCCCTTCCCCCCTCTCTACGCCCTCCCTCCCCCCGAAATGTTGGTGCAGATGGATTTCTGTATCTTGGTTTTGCAGCAGTGGGTCTAATGATTCCCATACCGAACCCCCTCGCTATGATAACCCCTCCCACTACTTTTTTTTCTTTTTTTTAGACCAGGCTGAAGAATAATGTGTTTTTAGAGATAATGGGTTTTATAAAAAGAAAAGGGACGCAGCGCAGACATTATGCGAATAAGCTGCTCCTCGCATCAACCCCATCTTCCCCCAACCACACATCCCAATTTCACCCCCTCGCATCATTCTCCAGCCTTCCCTCATCGGCTCCCCCAAGGAAAGGAAAAAAACCCACAACATGATCTGGGTAGCCGATCTCAAAATCCCAAGCACTAATCTGCTTGAATTTGTTCTTCCCCTTATATAAGCAGCAGCATGTCAACATGTTCAGTGGAAACGCAGCGTAAAATGAGGCCAGGCTACAGCCATGGAACAGGGGTGATATCGGCAGATATCACTTCTATCGAGAAGCCATCGCCACCGGGACGATGAAATCAAGCACTGGGCTTTCAGCCGTTCCCTTCCTTTATCTATATATTTTTCAACGCTTGCTCTGATTTTATTTTGTTTCATTTTGGTTTCGCTCTACTTTCTTTTTTAAAGGACAAAAGTGAAATAAATAATTAAAAACTGAGAGATGTACCCCACTGGAAGGTGCCCGAATGCTCCAGAAAGAGAATCCTCACCTCTTAACTTCTTTATTTTTATTTTTTTTTAATAAACACAGTCCTGTTGCTCCCACTATCCCCAAACTTGTAATGTCCCCAGGTGCACCTCCCTACTCCCAAAAACCAGATATGTGTAGAGACAAATGTTTAAGAAACTGCTGAAGACTGAAAACAAACCGACAGACAAATGGGAAATTATGTCTATACAATAACCTAGTTCGCTCAGCTGATGAAGTGCGTCCACTCCCAAAATCAAGACCAGTAATCTCTGCAACCTCCTCCCCCCGAAAATACTACTAACCCATAGATAAACTGGCCTAACTTAACACCGATGACCATTTTAACTTAAACCTGAGACAGACGTAACACCCTTCTGGTTCACATTACATTTAATAACTCTATCTACCATCACGACAAACAAAACCTTTTGCAATCATTTTTTCCCCCACCAACTCGACATCTCTCTTAGACTTTTTACTGGTCTATTTAAGAGTTCGCCCCCTCAAAAAATAGCCCCTCAAAATACACAATAAGCAGGTATTGGAAAGCGGTTGTTTCAATATTCACCTTTTTAGGAAGGCTGTGTATTTACCACGAAACAATTCCGTGCAGTAAAAAAAAAATACAGGAAGAATCTAATATTTAGCAGAAACAGAAATAATTTCTTAAAACTATTTGTAACAAAGCGTTGAACAGTTTGATCATGGAAAGGTGGAAAGAGCTTGGAAAAGCGAAAGGCTCAAAGTGTCCTTTTAAGAAACGATTCGGTGGGTTTAGCCTGGCTTCTGCCTCCCCAGTCCTCTCGTCTTTCTGCTGCTGATCTCATGCCTAATCTTTTTATTGTTTTCTTGGGGGGGTGGGGGGAGAAATCAGGAAAAAAATTTTTGAAAGAGAAAAATTTCAATTTTAGCAAAATGCCCCTCAAAGAGCACTGGTTAAATATGTTCCTTCCTAGCTACAAAAACCTACAATTAAAATAAATTCAAAGAGTAAGCAAAAGACAAGTCACCTGCAAAGCACCAGAGTCAGTGCCCTTAGGTAGGAGAATTACATCACTCCCTGACCGAATGATGTTTTCTTTTAAATTATAAAGCAGGTGGATTTTTTTTTTTTTCCCGACAGAAAAGGAGAAGGGAAAAAAAAAAAAAAAATCACACGACCACAGCGGTTATTTCACATACATCTTGCACGAAGGAAGCATTGAACCAACCTTTAAGGTCACTTGACTGCCTGAAAAAACACAGCAGTCGCTCACGGTGGAAGTTTTCAGGCAAGACGACTACTAAATCATTAATACAAACAAATGGAAGGCGGGGAGGAAAGGCGCTACTGTAATAGATCCGAAGACTTGGAAGAAGAAAAATATTAAAGAAAAAAAAAACTTTAATCTTCAGCCTCTCTTCTTTCCTCATTAATAATTCTTTAAAGAAATCCTTACGCTTTAGCCAAACAGTAGGTAGGCTCTCTCTAAACGTCTCCCTGCTGAAACTCAGCGTAGCGTCTTCTTTTGCGAGAGGCCACCCATTTTCTACTCCAAGAAGCCCAGCCGTGGGAACTGCGATTTCCCAGTAACTAGAGAGAAAGGAACCGGGGACGGAGCGTCCCGGGTGGTCGGTGCGCGCCCGCTCCTCCCGGGCGGGCAGCGCCCAGCCCCGCTGGAGCACGGGGAGCAGGGAGAGGGATAAACCGATCCGAAACAGTTGCCGTGAGGCGGGCCAGGAGAAACCCGCTCGCGGCGTGCCGGAGCAGCGGCGTCCAGCGCCCGCCGGTCGGGCAGTCCCCGCCGAGCCGAGCCGCCCCCTGCCAGCCGCCCCCTCTCACCTGCGCAGCCGGGCGGACTCCGGCCGCCGCGCCAACTCGCGGCTCGCCTCCGCTGCGGGGCAGGGGGCTCCAGCGTGTCCCCAGCCGCGGAGACTCGCGAGGTCCCGGGGAGGCTGGGCTGGGCTGGCCGCGCCGTACGGAGCGGAGCCGAGCCGTACCGTACCGTACCGTGCCGTGCCGTTCCGAGCCGTGACAGTCGCGGGCGGCCGCGGGCGGAGCTGCGCAGGGCTGAGCGCGCCGCGGTGCCGGAGCAGCCCGAGCCCCGCGCACGCCGCCGCCGCCCCCTGCCGCCGCACCCGCCCGGCCCGGCCCCGGCTTTTAAAGAGACCGCGGGCCCGGGTCCGCGCCCCCGGCCGGCCTCAGCCGCGGGCAGCGGCAGTAGAGCCCCGCCGGGCTGCTGCTCACGAGCTGGCGGCGGCACCGCCGCCTCCTCCCAAGCGAGGGGCTGGTGGCTCCGCTTCTGCCTCCAGCCCCGTCGGCGTCTCGCTCCTGGAGCGCTGCCTCGCCCGGCCAGCCCAGCACGGGGGTGGTTTTGCCCCTCTGGTCCTAGGAAGGGGAGGAGAGGTACGCAGCTTACTCCTAGAGTTTGCCAACGCCACCCAAGCAAGCAGGGACCTGCCGTCGGAACAGGAGGTAAACCCTTCCTCAGACCCTCAGGCGATCACCTCCGTGAACCCCTCAAAACCATTAAAGTTCACGAAGACTCTTTGACCCAAACCTACTGGGCATTTCAAGTCAATTTATAGACTGCCCATTTCATTTAAACCAGCCACTAAGTTTCCTTGTTACTTTGAACAAATATCTCAAACTTTTCATCCATTCGTTTCCTCTGTAAAAGCAGAGACAATCGCACCGACAGACAGCATCCACTGCACCAGAGGCAACATTTCACTCAAGAGTGTGTATCCTAAGAATCATTATTTATCATTTTATCACCACGAACACTTGGCGCAGCAAACAAAATAATTCAGAGTGCCTTCTGTGGAGAGCATCTATGTAAAGCTGTTTAATGTGTTATCATGATGAAAGTCCACCACAAAGACAACTAGCAGGCAAGATCATAGGTGCACATAAAGCACACACAGAACAGAAAGTGAGAAATCAAACCTTCCAGCTCCTCTCTCCAAACCCTACAATCTTGTAAAATTTGTGTATGACACTCATGCTACATTTTCCTTAAGGGGCAGACTAGAAAGCTATTTGCCTTTCCTTCCCTCTTCTGATCATGTATTCAAAAGGTTTTTGTCTTTTTCCACATTTTGCATAGCAGACAGCTTACTCACAGCACTCAATAAATAATAAATAATTATTATTTTATACAGTATGTATTGATCACCTTGCCCACTATCAAAATGCAGCTGTGTCTGATGCAAATAATAGCCACACAAAAATACTAAATAGTAGTTTCAGGTAGTATTAGGAGCCCCCTGGGAAGTTTCTCTAGAAAACACAGTCCTACACATCCCCTAACAAATTCAGATACATGCACAGAGAGGATAATGGAGACCTATTTCAACAAGGTGACAATGGTCCAGCAAAGAGGCATCTTCCTGACTCAAAATCAGCATCCCAAGAGCAAGAATTTATCCCTTTAGATGTCTGTGCAAAGGCAGGTTATTGTTAAGCTTCCTGTTTTGTATGGACAACATAACAGTAGTGAGAACTATCAATCCCTCCTCAGGGCATGGGATTAGATCCTGGTCTCAATTGCTGTGAAGAAAATCAGGTATTACTTCATTTACTTCAATAGTTAACTCCAGATTTAAAATGTGTGCCTGGCAATAAAATCTGTCTTCTAGTACCTTTCTTCCTCTGCTGATAGTTCCGCCAATCTAGCATTTTGTAGCTTACAGTTTATCAAAGTAATCATTTGATGAAGTAGTCATCTGAAACTGCACTACTTCTGGCCCGTCACTCTCCAAGGTCTTCTAAGACCATGCACATACTTGCAGCATATTTTGAACTGGCTGCCTATCACCAGAGTAGCCTCCATGTAAAATCTGTTACAACAGCAGTCTCTACTCATTGCAAGCTAAACCTCTTCAGTTTGGCAGACAGAAAACAGCATGTACCCTGAGAGAAAAACAAACTACAATGGCAGCTTATAGCCAGCTTAATCACGAAGGGTGAAGTGATCCCAGGAAGATTTGGGGGAAACAAGGTAGTTTTTATCCACACACTGTTCTTCCAACTTGAAACAGAAAGACCTAGAACCCCCATATATGAAATATTTATAGATCAGAAAGAGAGGAGAGTTCATCTAACTGAGGTTCTATTCTATTCAGAGTGCTATATATGAACCAAGGAAGATAACAACTACTTTGAAAGAACAACTACTTTGAAAGAAATCTTATTGTGCATAACTCAGACACACAGACCTCTGCTTCCAAAAAACTGTTACAGGCAGGCACCAAAATAGCAGACATCATTTTATAGATAGGTAAAGAGTAGTGAGAAAAATATTAGAAGAGCAGGGAAGTTTCCTTAAGATTGCAAGGCACATCTTTGCTGTGGTGCGGAGCAAAACAGAGGCAAGAGGAAAGCAATGTAATACGAGGAGTTCTTTGTCCAGCAAGTTATACTCCAATTCCTCAATAGGGAGTGGATTTATCTGACTAATTCCTCTAATTCTTTCTTTCACATCTCTAGCTCTCACCCAGCAGTTTGCAAACAAGTTGTATGGAGCAGAAGGAAAAAAATCATTACCACAGTGAGCCTTGCAACAGCCCCTCTGACAGTGCTCTAATCCGGCAATGCCTGTCATATGCCACAGGCGTTGTGCTGAAACTTTTACAAATATATGACATACTCTATTTTGTCCACATCTATAAGGTGATCAGTAGATACATCAGCCTTTTCCAGTGTCTTCATTAAGAAAACTGCCAGTTCCATTTCCACAGGGCCTTCTAAATGAGCAGCGACACAGATTGATGTACCTGGCTAGTCCCTCCTGACACAAGCACTGCTCTCTCTGCTCCCACCACCGGCACAGAAAGGCAAAGGCAAGAATACAGTGGGATAGATATGTTACTCATCTTCTTCTGCTTGCCCCCTTCAGAATAAATTTCCAAAACTTTTTACCAAGCTCATGTGCTTGTTTTCCAAAAGACATTATAGTGTCAACAAACTGGTGCGATTCAGCTGGTGCAGTTTTCAATAAACTGCTACGGGGAGCTGTTTGACTTCAATGTACTTACTCTGCTCTGAGTTCTGGGCTTGCTAACTCGGGCAGTGGCTGTAGTACCCACAAGACACAGCTTTTGCTTACGTCTTCTTAGAGGAGCGAGCTGTCTCACAAGAGTAACCTAACTTCCTGATGCAGTACTGTAAGTGCCATTACCATCAGTTCCTGGTGTCCCGTCCCGTCCCCCCTTTTCTGTTAAGCATTGGAGGCAAGAAAGAGGGATCAGAACCCGGAAAAGGCTCTGGAGACAGAATAGACAGGAGGTAGAGTCATCATTCATTGTGCTAGGATTTCCAAATACTGCAATACAAGATCTAGAAGATTCCATCTAAAGTAATGCCCCGAGCATGGCAGCAGGGGGTAGGAAGAGTCTGCACTGCAACATTGTCCCATAATCTCCTGGCTTTTTCCATAGGTTCTCTGCACAGCATTCACCAAACCCTTGAAATCAAGCATTTGTATGGTACTGTTTAACAGAAATGAGGCTCAAGGGGACTTTGCCATTGAAACAGTGGCAGGGAGGTCTGCACAAGGCAAGAATGCAGTTTATCTCTCTGGCTATTTTTTTAATCTTTTTTTCTTTTTTTGCCAAGTTAGCAATTTCAGTGTCTTTTTGCCCAGAGTTAATACCCAAGGTGAATTTAGAAGCTGCAGTCCAAACTGTGATCAGATCATCTTGGTTGTGCCAAACGAAGCTGATCTTATCTCACTGGTGACCTTATCCTTCTTGAGAGAGCAAACCTCATTACAATAATAAGAAATAACAGAGATGGGGAAAAAGAGTAATCATGACAGCACCTGATCAGAACTCCCTTTACCATCATCTCAGAAGAGCAGTTCTGAGCCCTTCTCCTTCAAACATAATTTTTCACCCCAGTGGGAGGTTCAGCCTCCAAAGTTACTCTGGCCCCTTGCAGGACACATCCATCTTTTCTTGATCCACAGACCTCCTCCTAGCAGGTTCTGTTGCATTTATTTAACAACTACAGACAAACTCTACACAGCCTGTACAGGAAGTGCTTTTCTGCGCACCACTTTGTCTATCTGAGTGTACAGGGGGCAGAAACTGTAAGGACACACATTCAAGTATGTGGCAGTGTATGAATGGGAGAGCATGTGCCAAAAAACGCGATGTGTGTACCCAGGCATGTAAGGGTAAACCCATTCAGATGAGAGGATTCCTTGTAGGAGGAGTGTGTAAGAGGGCTTAAATAGGAGCAGTGTGTGTGCAAATGCTGCAGGAACACGTTCAGGGCAAGGCAGATAGGGAAAGGGAGTATGTGTCATTACAATAGCTAACATATATGGGGGAAAAATTATGTAAGCACTTCTCCAAGTCTCATACAGTGTTTTCTGCCATCTTTCAGAGCATCATTGTCAGAGGGTGCCTTGTACACGAGTATTTAGATTTAGGAATACATAAGCATTACGACAGGTAAGTCAGATGTGTGTGCACACTTGAGTATGCAAAAGAAGGGAAAAAAACCCAACAAACCATAAAGCTGTACCTTCTCTCAGCCAGCAATATCAAATTTGATGGTGGTCACACTGGCTGTATGATCTCCACTAACACTTATTAGACAGAACTCTACATCTCATTCTAACACAGAAAAATATCCATTACCATCTCTTATCATCAACAATCCTTCTGAGACCCTGATTTGGTAATGGCCCAAAAAGAAGAGAACCACTTCTACAGGCAGCAGACAGCGTCCAGTGAAATGGTCAAAGCCACAGTTCAGAGTTAATGCGCAAACAACTATTTCCACCAGTTTTGAACCCTGTCTTCTCTTGTTTCTTAAGTCCTCTGAAGTCTTGCTTCTCGAGTGTTCTGTGGGATCACTCCAGTTTCTGAGATGTCATTAGCCCCCTCTGCAGTAAGACTCAGCAGAATTGCTTACTACCTCCTCTACTTGAACTCTGCCTCCTCTTCTTGTTTCTGAATCCTCAGATGGAGCCATGAAAATGAGCCAATGACATCACAGTGTGTT